AGCAGTAGCATCTTGGTATTGCTGATATTCCGCGACAAGATCATTCATGTTGCTTTCAGCTTCAGTAAACTCCATTTCGTCCATTCCTTCACCTGTGTACCAATGCAGAAACGCTTTACGTCTAAACATAGCAGTGAACTGTTCGCTTACTCTCCTGAACATTTCCTGGATTGAAGTCGAGTTTCCGACAAACGTAGAAGCCATTGTGATTCCGGTTGGTGGAATGTCGCAGACGCTTGACTTGACGTTGTTTGGGATCCATTCGACGAAATATGACGAGTTTTTGTTCTGAACATTCAAAATCTGTTCGTCGACTTCCTTTGTGCTCATTTTTCCTCTGAACATAGCCGAGGCTGTGAGGTAACGTCCGTGTCGCGGATCAGCTGCGCACATCATGTTTTTGGCGTCCCACATTTGTTGTGTAAGCTCAGGGACTGTGAGAGAGATGTACTGTTGAGAGCCACGGGAAGTGAGAGGCGCGAAACCCACCATGAAGAAATGGAGACGTGGGAATGGGATAAGGTTCACGGCGAGTTTCCTTAGGTCAGAGTTGAGTTGTCCAGGGAACCTCAAAGAGCAAGTCACACCACTCATCGTTGCTGAGATCAAATGGTTCAAGTCTCCAACTGCAAATGTTATACAATGATCTTTAGATTATAGAGAACTTACAAAACATTAGAGTTTTTGACACAAAATGTGGTACTTACAGCTAGGAGTGCTGAGTTTGAGAGTGCGGAAACAGATATCGTAGAGAGCTTCGTTGTCGAGGACCATACATTCATCAGCGTTTTCTACGAGCTGGTGGACTGAGAGAGTTGCGTTGTACGGCTCAACGACTGTGTCTGAGACTTTTGGAGATGGGAAAACAGAGAATGTGAGCATCATTCTGTCTGGATATTCCTCGCGGATCTTCGATATCAAGAGTGTTCCCATTCCAGAACCTGTGCCTCCTCCGAGTGAGTGACAAACTTGAAACCCTGTAATCATGAAAAATCAATAAAATGAGATCAAAGACAAATGTGTATGAACAATCTCTAATAGTTTGATCAAATATACATCATGTAACAATGTACTATATGAGTCCCATATATCAAGACCAGATCCAAAAAAATTGAGATGTTTTTGTACGAAAAGATTAACAATTTTAAAAAAAAAAACAATCAATCCCACTTTGCCTGTTCAATGATATCACAAAATGAGTGTATGTTTCACCTTATATAGTATCAAATACAATAGTATAATGATACTTTATCCAAAGTGATTATTAAAATATTCGATATGGTTTAAGGATTCACGTGATAATCATAATCCTGATCCACTGCGACAAAAATAGAAAAGAAAAAAACATTTAAGGGGCCACAAATACAAACACTACCGCCAAATTAGGATATTGTCTTTTAGATTCAATGTTAAACTTTTTCCTAATCACAAAATCTAATGATTACGTGAAAACAGCTCATTCTTAAACAGTCCTTAACATGTTTAATCACAAAGAATCACAAATCGAATCAATAATTTGACAAAAAATCGAATTATTGAAGAACAAGCACTAATCCAATCACAAAGAACACATGATCTTTACGAATCAAAAATGTCAAAAACAATGAAATCGGAGATCATCAGTGAGTACTAAATCTGCAACTGCGTTAACAATCCCGAGATCTCAAAACGAAACCAAACAATGATTAGATCGTTCGATGATTCAAGTTTTTGGTTCATAGATCAAAATCAGAAACTGGTAGATGATCTCTCAGATCATCGATAATCAGAGCAAGTGAATCAAATCATTCACCAAAATCAGCACCCAGATTCATCGAAACAAAAATCAATCAACAAAAGAGGAATCGATTAATAATACCTTGCAAGCAGTCACAGTTCTCAGCTTCTTTACGAACAACATCGAGAACAGCATCAATAAGTTCAGCACCTTCAGTATAATGACCTTTAGCCCAATTGTTACCAGCACCAGACTGACCAAAAACGAAGTTATCAGGACGGAAAATCTGACCGTACGGTCCAGATCTGATACTATCCATAGTACCAGGCTCGAGATCCATAAGAACAGCACGAGGAACGTATCTACCACCAGAAGCTTCGTTGTAATAGACGTTGATCCGCTCGAGCTGGAGATCGGCGGAATCGCCGTTGTAACGTCCGGTTGGATCAACGCCGTGTTCGTCGCAGATAACTTCCCAGAATTTGGAACCGATTTGGTTACCGCATTGACCGCCTTGAACGTGGAGGATCTCTCTCATGGTTGGTTGTTGTGATTTGAGATCTGGAAGAGAGGTTTGTTTTT